TCACAAATAAATATTTACTAATAGTAATATAATATAAATAAGCAATAATAATGGCAATAATAAACCAATAATTAATCCCAAATAATTCTAATTCAAACGGGGCGTTACAACTTGTTTAACAACTATGAAGCTGCTAAATATGTTGCTCGACTTCGACCAGCTCGCAAGAAAGGTTGGGAGAAGACAAGTCAAAAAACTTGTTTAACAGCTATGAAGCTGCTAGAATCGTTGCTCAACATCGACCAGCTCGCAAGAAGGGTTGGGAGAAGAGATGAGATAAGAAAATCGACAAAATACGACAGACAAAGAACGAAAGCAAAGGATAGAATAATATTCATGAAATGTTCATTACAAGCAGGATCGTCTCGACCTTTACAACCAACGAAAATATGTCGAGAACAATGAAAAAAACAACAAAAACAAACAAAACAACCGACATAATCAAGCAAACATCTAGTCCTTCTGGGAATCGGCGGTCGACTTCTCGGCATCATTCTCACCACCGTCGGCATTAGGCTCAGTCCTCGTGCCCTCTTTATCGACAATCGGCTCCGTCCCCTGTGGCCCGTTGCTGCCAGCTTTATCACCCATGGCCTTTTTGCCACCCTCGGCATTCTGAGATTCATCGTCGTCTTCTCGTTTGGCTCGACCAAGTTGGTCGGACCAACCAACGGAGAGGGAGGAACCTCAAGCTGACCTATCAATTTCGCCTTACGAATAGCCCAGGCCTCGAGGCCACTCCACCATGGGTAATCATCGGGCAAGGACGCATCCCCCCGATAACCGTCTGGAAGAGGGAGAGTCTCGTTGACCGCCTGACGATCAAGTTTCCCTTCTAGTACGGTACCCTTGGCAGCTCTTTCCCAAGCATCAAAGGTAAAGTTGAAGTACTGGAGGGTGGCAGGGCATAGTTCGTCGAGGAAGGCTGGGGAGTTGAGAAAGGCTTGGACGACTTCCTGGCGGAAGGTCTCGAGAAAGATCGACCCCATGGGCGACTTGAGAAAGGACTTACGCCCTTCCTCGACCCCAGCCTCCCTCTCGGCAAGGACATCCTCGCGGGCCTTCTCGAGCTCAGCAGTCAGCTCCTCGACTTTCTTGAGGCCCGCCTCCTTGTCGGCCTTCAGCTTCGACACCAACGCCTTCGAGGCCTCATAGTCATCCTTTTGCTCCTCAAACTTCTTGCGTTGGGTGACATACCACCCTTTCCAGTGTTTCACGTTGTTTTTGGGAGACGAAGTACCCTCAAGAAAGTTGGGGAGCATGGAACCAATTAGCTGAATGACGAGAAGAATAACTTAGAAAAGAATACCTCACGTAATCACAAAATAAAAAGAAGAACTGATTACCTGAGAGAGAGTGAGGACGGCATAACAGGAGACGTCGTAAGGATCGTCTGAGACTCGAGCCTTATCGGCTTCAGGAAGGATGGAGTCGAGGTATTTGGTGACCGCATGAGCGTCGGGATTATTGTGAAGACGAGACGGCTGCTCTACGGTGATAGTAGTCGTCTTGACGGGAGAAGGGGAGGGCTTCTCGACGGCTTTCTCTTCCCCTTTATCCAACCGCTTCTGGCGCTTGAGGTCGTCGGGGATGAGGATTGCCTCCCTCTCATCTTGCGCACGTTTACAAGAGTCAGACCCCAACAAATTAAGCGGGGGAACAGTGGACCGCTCGACCCTAGCTTTCCTCGCCACAGCCGTCTCGGCTGTCACATTCTGAGCATTCGAACCCGAAGCACCATCAGGCTTTTTAGGAGGTGCATATTGGCTGGCGGACTTGTCGTCGCCCTTAGCCTTCTTGGTTTCGAAGCGGGCAAAGCTTTAACAGACACAAAAAAAGAGCAATCAACACAAATGAACAATCGAACTAAAATTTGAGACCCATAGTTCATGCACAACAGAGAGAAACAGAAAGACGAGTAAGAAAACACGGTAAACTGATAAAAGATAAAGTATGGACGACTTACGAGGATCGTCGATACGAGGAGCATCCTCGTCGACACAGAGACTTACATGGTTAAGGAGAGCCTTATCCTTAACCAGCAAGCGAGCACTCCAAGTGCACTTATTCAAATCATTGAGCATCGCTTCAAACTGGCTCGACCAAGGGCGCTTATTTTGTTTAACCTTCTCGGAGATCCAGACGTTTGTGAAAGGGTAACGACCAAGAGCAGGAGGAACATACAAGTATTTTGTTTTCCATTCGGTGACGTTCGAGGAAAGATCCTCGAGGAAAGTAACACCACGACGATGACCCAAACAATGGGCATCCTTTTTGAAGCGGTAGCTATAGCAATAGAGCAAAAACTCGGGCGAAAAACGGCCAAACTTTATTTTTGAGATGATAATGATGGCTATCATGATGCGAATGGAATTGGGTGAAAATTCATTTATGGGTACATTGTACAAATTGCTGAAAGACAAGAGTCCAGGCTGAATTGGAAAACGCAAACCGAACATTATTTGGTCGACAAAGAATGTATAACACCCCTTAGAGGGACGAAAAAAGACATCGGTAGAGGATGGAGTAACCAACTCCCAATCGGCGGGAAGACCACTGAACGACCTAAACCCCAATATTTGGGCTGCAGAGGCATAATGAAATGAATTTAGAACAGCTAATTTAGCTAGCGGATAGGCTAGGGTTACATTATTAGGCTCGAAAAGACGAGCTGTTATTGATAAAGATACATGACTTGTTCTGTATACAGAAATGTCTAGTAGCCTAAGGGGTATACCTTGAGGTATAAGATTAAGACGGGGAGAGTCGCTTCCTCGTCGGGGGTCCTCTTTATTTTGCATCAAATCACCTGATAGAAGAGCTTGATGATACACGTCCTGGTCAATCCCAAAATTCGACACCGATGAACTCGGCGATACCCCTGGTTCGACTGTGGGCTTAGTGTCGATTATTTTGACAGAGTCAGAATCCGAGTACTCTTCAATCTGACGAGCAAGAGACCCGGAGATAAAACCGGAGACAGAGTCGGATCCAGAATCTAAAAAAAGGAGAAGAAGAGTGATGATCAGCGCAATGAAACACAAGCTAGACATTAGGGATCAGGAAATATGGAAGTGTCAGCATAAGGGTGGTCGCAACCATAAGTCGACCACTAGAAAAGTATGAACGGGCGAAGTAAGGTTGGATGGATCTAGCTCAACTCGACTGAGCGTGGAAGAACGCAGGCAACAAGGATTTCGAACCTAAGCAGACGGCCCGGGACGGGGCCGTCGACCTAAGGGTTATACCAATCAACATAAAGTCGACCTATGAGGGTGACAAGCTGACACAGTGCCCTAAATCTACATGCGAGCAAACGCCTTGATAATACTCAGACCAAGTAATAAAGATCTGGTAATGACTGCCCATAACCATTCGAAGATTTTTAAGAACACGAAGAACACGCACAATCCCAAACCGGAAACCCATAAAATTAACAAAAAAATTGCAAGAGTATTAGAATAAGAGAACTTACACATGTTGACTGGGGTAAGAAGTTCGGAGAATGTCGAAAAGTTGCCGGATGATACGTGCGCTGGAAAAACTGAAAGCTTGGTTGCCGAAAATCCGAGAATTTGAGAAGAGAAAATTGAGAAAAGGTGAAGAAAATGGAAGATGAATGATACTTATAGAAGAAATGACAAAATCCTAGCCTCAGGATTAAAGGGAATATCAATGACTGAGATGAGGCACGAAATTCGAAGCGGCAAAAGGGGACTTGAGACGGCGTGTCACATCTTTACTATAAAGTTTGAAATTCAAATGATAATGGGAAGTGGACATATTCGAGAAAATTCCCAAGTACAAGTTAAACCACAAGCATCTTAGTCAAACAAAGTGAATCATCGACATGACGAGTTAAGAAAAGAGACGAGACGACTTACCAACGAAAGTATGGGGAGCAACGAAGGAAATCACTAATATCATCGACATCAAATGGATAGCACAACAGCATGAGAGAATCGTGCAGTAAGACTGGGAAGAAACCTAACTACCAAATTTACTCTTAAGCTTGAAGTCGCTTAGAGTAATTTTTTTTGGGGGGTGGAGACTAGATGATATAGCCCTACTATCATAGTCCGACTCAGATGCTAGTTATTCGACCCAGTGAACATTGATGACGACATTGGCAAGTCGACTTACCTGAAGTCGACCAGGCTCATGAGCTATTTAAGGATCGCTGACAACCCAGTAACGGTTCCAAGACGACTCCCTTAAGTCAACTGGGGGTGAGTCGACTTTCTTCCAGAAGACGAGTGAGCGTAACGGTCCAGGTGCACGTGATCATAGGTCGACTTGGCGATGCACAAAGTCAACTTATGAGACCTCCGACGACTTCTATACATAACATATCATAGGAAAACCTCCAAGCTAGAGGATCCATATGGGATAAGAAGGAATCTGGATGCTGACTAAGGAGTGGGCGGAATGCGAACCGACCTGGGCATTTTGGACATTTCATGTAAGTCGGTCAGGGCATTTTGGGTACTTCAGGTAAATGTTTGGACCTCTATATAAAGGAGGTGAGGTAACTCCAAACCCTAACTTTCATTCTCTACTCATTTCCAAGCTGCTGCTTCTATTGAGCAGAGCTCATCTTCAACACTCTCATACTGACTTGAGCGTCGGAGGCTCTTCACCAGAAACACCTTCGGTTTTGAGTTCTTGCAGGTGTTTGCAGCGGTTCGAAGGCGACTTAAGAACGATTCGAGCAGATCGGAGCCCATTATCACCAGTTCATTCCAGATCTCGGAGTAAACCCATCAGGCCCATTAAATAATCAACCTTACTGAGAATATCAGCCAAAGTCACCCTTACATATTTTTTTAATAGAAAGTTTTTACCATATTTTCTTAATATGTTATCAGTTATCCAACCAAATTCAGCAACTGTTTATAATGCAATTATTCTCAATGATATTATTCTGTAATCATAAGTGGATCCTACTGCTACTATTGTTAAGAGTACCTACCCAATGTTATAAGGAGTTTAGGCGACGACCTTAGCTATCTGAAGGACAGAGCCATACTCGCTACCACACTAGTTGATGTGGTTGAGTCTGGTTACGAGTATATGAGCTCATTGGACTCATCTGAGGTGAGGACATATTTGAGTTCGGATACCGCATGCAAGTCAGATGTTGACTCTCTTCAAGATCTTCATACGCCTGAATTTTTGAATGGGATTAAATGCTCGGAACTTTTGAATCATAAATTGCACTTGAAGATTGACACTCCAATGGTGCTGCTGAGGAACATTGATCATCAATGGAGTTGTGCAACGATATGCGCTTGGTTATTACTAAGCTCAACAGCCATGTCCTCGAGTGCAGATTTTAACCGATGTCAGAGCTGGTGATAAGGCTCTTATTCCAAGGCTCACAATCGTTCATTCAAATTTGAGGGTACCGTTCAAGTTTCACAGCAGACAGTTTCCTATGTTATGTCAACAAGAGTCAATGCCAGTCTCTCTCACACGTCAACTTAGTCTTGAAGAAGCATGCTTTCAGTTATGGGCAGTTGTACGTTCTTTCTGGAGTCACGAATCAAAAGGGTTTAAAGATAATGATATGTGGTGATGGTGATTCTGGTTATAGAAAAACTATGAATGTTTTATACAAAGAAGTGTTTGATAATATATTTAGAATCCATTTCTGAATTTATATTTATTTACATGAATTAAATTATGATTATGTATTTTATGTTTTTTTTTATATTATGATCTTATTTAAGTATTCTTCTCCACGCAGATGCACTAGTTGATTACTAGTTAATATGTGAGTTTGAGCAATCCTATAAGTATCATTTACAGAATCGCAACCAAAGTTCTGAAAACAGGAACGGTCATTGAACGGATCAAGCTACTGGTACAATGGTCCAACCAGTGGTT